GTTATCAAAAATATTGTTGCGTTCCTACGCAACTTATCATATAGCATCCATAGGAATAACTGGAAGATTAACAGAATTAAAATGATTACCATGTTGGTTTTACATAATTAACTTAGTTTCAGATGTTATTATATAAATTATAAACTTATATACTAATAAATTGGCAAATTGGGAAAAGTCCTCAAGAAGTAACTTTCCTTTGTTTATGGCTATGTCGCAAATATTTAAGTATAGGTTTTGAAATATAAAGAGTGTCACTTTTAAAATATTTTTACAGCAACGCAAACCATGAATCCGGAATCCTCTGATACATCCGGAAAGTTGGCCAATTTCAGCATTTTTCGAACTTTGAGGTCCTTTTGCTCAGAATCCTTGCGTCGGGGAACTTTTTGGAAAACGCAGTTTAACTTGGGAATTCGTAACTAATTCAACAATATAGCATTAAATATAGCATTAAATTTGTTGCACAGTGTCATGCGCGGATCCACGGGGGGTGATATGGGTGATATATAACCCCCCACTCGGGTGAAAAATTAAAGAAATTTTGATATTCAAAAAGTATGCAACAAAAAAATTCTTCTGATATCACCCCCCACAACAAAATCCTAGATCCGCCACTGCACAGTGTAATTATACCCGTTACTCGTAGAGTAAAAGGGTATATTGTATTCGTGCAAAAGTATGTAACAGCTAGAAGGAAGCATTTCCGACCCTATATTATAGCCTATATTCTTGATCAGGGACAGTAGCCGAGTCGATCTAGCCATGTTCGTCTGTTTGTCTGTCCGTATTAACGCTGAGATCTCGGAAACTACAAAAGCTAGAAAGTTGGGATTACCCACACATGTTCTTTGGCTTCCTACGCAGCGCAAGTTTGTTTCCGCCGAGCGTCACGCCCCCTATAACGCCTACATATAACCTGTAAGTTCTTTTTTAAAGAAATTGATATATTTAGGGACTTAAAATGAAAAGGGTTTCTTTACAGAAAAAATATAAGAGCAATTATATTTCTCAAAACCTACAGTAATGGACATGGGAACAGCTGTATTCGGATCATTCCCATCCAATTTGCATAACCCACAAGAATACACCCACAAAGTAACACCCAGTGCCACCGCAGCCAGAAAAAGATGCGAAACCACAGCAACAACTTATCGCCATCCTCATCAGCTTGACGGCAATGATGCTGACAACAACAACGGCCGTATCCTCGTTTATAGCTTCGAAAAATCCCCCTGTGTGCAATATTTATCATGTCACATAATATTTTTCTGGCATTTGCACGTCACCTCCGCACCCCACTCCCCCGAGTTTTGGTGTACCTAGTAATATTCTCAGCTCCCCCAAAAATGTTGGCTTAAGCAGCTGATACGCATACACACAGGAAAGTCCTGAAATCACAACCCCTTCGCTAACCAAACGATGTGGGCGGCGGGTCGGACTTGGAGGGTGGGGCAGCGGTTGGTTGCCAGCCATCAATTGCAGCCATCAACCACCGCCGACAGGGCGTCTGCCTGTCTGATATCACTGGAAAACTCCAAGAGACCGCTGCACTGAACAAAAGTATTTTAAATATTAATTTTTTTAGGTGTATACCCAAAATGTATAGTGGATCCATGAATATCATAGATTTCTATAGATCACGTAAGAATATCATAAAAATATATTTTTAAAAATTGTAGTTATAAATATTACAACTTATCGTAAAAGATTTTATAGTGTCAAGCTCAGTGTAGCTCAACCCAAACGAGAACTCATACCACCCATTCCTGCTCATTGAATTTTCTGCTGATTTCATTTCGACTTCTTTTGCTCCGCTGGGAACAAAACTTAAAGTGAGTATGAGTGGGTGGGTTTTGTGGGTGGGCAAGCGGAAGGAGTGGGTGGGTCTTGGGGTGGCTGATTGTTGTTGTCCCAGCTTCTGTTTTGCCTGTAAATATTTTTGGCAATTGTCGCTTCCCCTTTCCCCCTCGTTTTCCCCAGAGGGCAAATTAATGATGTCTTCACCCTCTTGGTCCCAAATTGGAAATTACTCATAAATTGCTCTGGCAGTTCTCATTCGTGCTGTTTTTGTTTTCTCACACTATTTAGGTATATTTATTACCTAATCATTGGATGTGTGAATGTAGAATGTAATTTTTTTCACATTAAAATTAAAACATATTTTTTCTCTGATTTCAGTATTTAAAAGATTTTGTTATTTACTCTTTAAGAATTTAAAAATCTTATATAAAGTTCACTCCTAGTATACTTCGGTCATTTTTAATTCAATGTTAGAACAATTATTATATAGAGGCTTTAAGTTATAAAAATGTTAGGGTCATGTAGTTTTAGGAAATAATAAAATTATTATTACAACTTTTAAATTAAGCTATAGAATAAGTAATGAATTCTTGAAAATGACTTGGGCTTAGGCTGGTAAACTACAGTTAACTTCCAAGATCTTATTCATGGCTAACTCTGAAAGCCGGTTTGTCCTCCAAGTGTCCGCCACTCAGAAGTTGCCCTCAGAATTTTCATCCATCAACACCTGAGCAGAAAAGCAGGCCTCAAACCAACAGCTCTGGAAATCCCAAAGCTGGGAAGGAATGGGACCGAGTGCCGAGGACGATGGACCGCACTTGAGGCGCTCCAGAGGAGCGGAACGAGCGGAAGAAGGAGCGGCAGCTGGCCAAGTACCGCGCCGCCGTCATCGACATCAGCGTCGTCGTCCTTCCTCGCAACACTCTCAATTAAAATGTCCTCGCTTGGTAAGCGTGAGCGTTCAAGAGGCCATGAAAACTCCTTATTACACGGTGTCAGCGTGGCCGGTCCACACTGAAATATTAAATGAGTTTTTTATTCAACAAAAAAAAATAATTTAATCCCCAAACATTAAAGGGTTTGTCTAAATAGAATTTATTTACCAACCAAATAAACACAAATTTTAAATTTTTTTTTTTTTTTAAACAGGACTCGGGAATTTTTAATCTCGATATTTTTTTGTAGTGCAAGTGCACACCACCAACCCAACCCTAGCGGTCGCACGACCAAGCTTAACCCGCACCATAGTCGCAAAACCGCTTCTAACCCGAACCCGCGAGGGTTCTTGGCACCTACGTGTTAATAACGCGAAATGCAGTGAAATTTTTGTATTTTCAAGCACGCACTCGAGAGTGCCACGCCCGCAGTCCTTGCCGCCCCCAGCCCAGCCACCCGACTTGAAACAGAAACCCTCCACGCGGCAAAAGTAGAAAATAAAAATTGCTGCAAACCAGAAATCATTGAGTGAGTTCGCAACACTTGGTGGCCCAAAAGGAGATTCCTCTGTGGGAATGAGGGGGTAGTTTTTCGATGGTGACTAAAAAACACTTTAAAGAAAAGAAAAATTTGGTTTTAATTTTCTGTTTCTTTTTTCTGAAATCTGAAACACTTCAAATATTTGGCGAGTGAAGAAAGCCAAGCCAAAATGCTGGGACATGTTGACGCCAAGCGAAGGGAATGCGAGAAAATGGACATGGGAAATTTTAAACCCACTTGCCAGCTGCCTAAAGGGCAGCACTTAAAAGGGCCTCCCCCAACTTTGTCGTCAGTTCATGTTTACTTTTGCAATATTGACATGAAAATATTTACACAAAAATACAAATCGCGACCGTGTTTTATTTCTGTTTCTCCTTTAGAGTTAAAAGTGCATTTGAAAGGGAATTTTAGATACACTTTTTAAGGAAAAGGAACCACTTTATTAATATTTTTTACAGTTACAGTTTTTTTTTATTATTTATAAACTATTTATAATGCTAATGGTATTCAAAATATATATTTATTTATACATTTTTTCTTTTTGGTTGTAAGTACTAACACAAATTGTTAAGATTGTTATGAACATTGTTCTTAGATTTTTTTACCTTTAAATCCAAGCGGTATATTCATCTTCGGTGCTACCCAGTTAGCCATCCACTCTTGTGTATTTTTTGTGTCTTGTGTTGTGTCTGCTTGTCGTCTACAATTTCCACATGTGGCTTTTCCTTGAAAGGCTTTTTGCTTGGCAAAAGTTTTCGCTGCAGCTGGAGGGCACCAATAAACGTCAGACGCGTGTCAGGGCGCGTCCTTTGTATACTGACACCTCTATGGCTGATTTGATCCAAACTTTGGAGAACTTCGAGAGCGACGAGGCTACAGGTGAACAGGATGTATGTGCATACTTGGCCACTATATGGCTGTCACCTTCGATTGGACAAATCGGATAAGTTAGCCGTGGGAAATGCTGCGTCCCAAGTGGTTAATGGTTTAGAATAAAGGAAGTTCAATTGGTTAGAAACAAATTATTTATCTTTTTATTCATGCCAATAGATAATTACCTTATATGGCTACTTATAATACTACACTAAGCATAAAATAAAGACATAAAGGATATAGATAAGGAGGTATAAGATTCTGAACTTAATTATATAACTTTGTATTTAAAGAAGTGTTATTAGTATCACCACACTAGGAAATTTTAAAACAAATAATTCCACAAATTCTTTGAATTCTACAAATTTTTGCTTAAAGAAAACGTTTGAATATATTACCAACTTAATCCTAATATAGTTTAAATTATTAACATTTATTACTACTTTTTTACGTATATATAGTTATTAAATTATTTATTTTATAATGCTTTTGCCACGTTTTGCAGATTAAAAGCGCTTTTATCTGTTTGTTGCTACACAATATAAATATATTATTCCCATTCCTAGCCCCAAGTTCTTATCAGAAAACAGAACAGCAAACACACACGCGCAGAATTAAGAAAAAAAATTAAATCTGTTTGACTAATACAATTAAACTGATAACTTAACTAAATCAATCAAGTCACCCGACCGAAAGCACCCACTGAAAAATGTCGACCCTTTTTTTTGCCTTGTGGTCATGCCGCGACTTAAATCGGAATCCCCTTCGTTTTCCTGGGCTCGAAGAGCTGTGAATCTAGAACTGAAAACTTATGTCAGTGGCACGCGTCGGCGGCACGTGACCCCGACATGAAAATCACGCTCAAGATCGCCGAGGATGGCAAATGGATAGGGCTGATGGTGACGAAGGAACTGGGCGAACGTCCAAATGGTGGAGGTGATGAATGCCAGTGTGCAGATGCTTTTAAATTTAAATCGAATCAAATTGATTTGCTTACAGTTCCAGTTTCACTTTTTACTCACGCCAAGGCTACACATTAAAAAAAGTCTACAATTTATTTATTTATATTTAAACAAAACTTGGGAAAAATAGTAATTTCATGTATTTATTGTCTATAAAAAAAGTAATATAAGAAATGTTAAAAGTTTGTTGTCTTTGACTAATGAATATTACAAAAATAATTAACATTTTTTTGATACTTTTTAAATTGTTTTTTTTTCACAAAATAAAAAAATTAAAATAATGAAAATTGGCTTTCAAAATGTATAAATTTTAACTTTTGGTATTTTTCTTCGAGTGTATTATCAATTGGAAAACCCCTGCCAAATTTTATACAAGAAGAGTGCGTTGTGCCCTGTCCACGTCCCAGCCCAATTGTTTAGCCATTTGACAAGTGTTTTGACAATATTTATTTGAGCTGCTACAACCCACGCCCACAGCCCCGCCCCCCGCAGCATGCCAGCCCCCCTCCGCCCACGTTCGAGCCACTGCCTTTGGGTAATTTGATTTCCTCGACGCTGCCATCATCTGCATCCTTGACGTCGGACACGTTTCTGCCTAATGGAGTTGCTCGAGTGGCGTGAATTTCAATTAAATTAAATCAAAATGTTGCATTTTTTATTAAGGCCATTAGCAGCACACACGCAAGCCCCGCCCACGAAATCCCACGCTGTTCCCTAGTTGGTTAAATTAAGTTAAGATACCACCTCGCCTGTGCCAAAAGAACTTGTATCCTAATGTGCATAATGAAGTGCCTTTACTTTACTTGCCATCCACCACCTACGTGTACCAATATAAATTCATTATATAAAGGCATCTGAGGGATTGGAGGGAAAGTTATTGGGAAATTCTCCCCTTTCTATAGAAGAGTAATGCATTCATTGAGTAATTAAGGTGGTAGAATCTAGAAGAAGCCAGAAATATAGACAAATTGTTGAATATGTGGACAAAGTGATTTAAAAACGTTTCAAATACTCGTTAAGTATTTAACTATATATCGCTATTCGAAAATATATATAAATATGTCTAACAGTTTGCTTTGCATCATAGTTTTCGGAAATATAGTTTTGGAAATATAATTTGGGAAATCGGAACAATAATCTGGGTCTGCAAAATAATTTCAAAATTTGGTTCTGAAAATATTAAATATTACTTTACTTTCTTACTTACTTTATTAAGATTATTTATAAAAATACGACAGTATTTTAAGTAAAATGTAGGATAGTCAACCTGTTTCTGAGAATAGCAAAAGAGTGTGGCACCATAGATGGGTGGGTGGAGTAATGGAGGAGTGGAGTTTTCCTATTGTTACATGTGCATTAAAAGAAATGCTGCAGTGCTCAGAAAATGCGGAAAAGAGGAAGGAGAGCTGCTTTGAGTGGCAATAAACAATGCATAATGAGTTGAGAGTCTCGTTATTATTGTTGTCGCCCGTGGCTGAGACCGTGCATTAGTCAAACAGGTAATTTAAATTAAGCCAAAACAATAAGCTGAGGTGCCATTTAAAAAAGGTGCGAAACGCATTTCGTCATTAGGAAATTGCAAATTAAGATTGCAAACACTCTTAGGCCCTTCCATTACTTTTGCAATAGCTGTCATTTATTTTATTAGGAATAAAAAGCCCAGCCCAATAATTTAATGCATATATAATATAAAAACTATATTGTGCAAACACAAATTTGGAAATTAATTTAAACCAAAGCTTAAAAAGTGTGCCATATAATGCCTTAAAAAAAGTTTAAAGAGTTATTTAATTGTAAACTGTTTATGTGAAAGACTTAAAATGCCAATATCCTAGGGAATTAGGGGCGTAGATACCCTCACTTAAATAGGGAGATACATAAAGAAAAAAATCCATTTTTTGTATTATTTAAATTGGTAGAATAACTCTTTAAGAATGTGTCATGAAAGTTTCACGAAGAAATTCAAGCTATTTTGGAACTTATACGAGGATGAGGGCACCCACCTTCCTTGTGAAGTAGATATATTTAATTATTTTTAATGTGTTTTTCTCGAAACCCTGTTTTCCTCAGCTCAGTTTATCGTCGGGTCGTTATAAAAAATATGAAACAAATTATTTTAGACTTTGCCACTACTAGAGTTTTTGAGATATTCTATATAAGTTAGGTTCAGACAGTTTCTACATTATTTCTTAAAAGTCAAAAAAACTTTAAAAGATACAAATTTTAGGTACATCTCTACTACAGATATTTTACCATCTAATAATTTAACACCCAAATATTTTATAAATTTCCAGGAAGCTCTCATTTAAAACATTTTGACTAATTAATGTGGATTCCCCAGAATAGTCATAAAAAATTATATATATATTTAAATTTGGAGAGGCTTAATGTGAGCCGAATTTGATAAGACGCGCATGGGGCTTTCGTGTGAAGCATTGTTGGTTTGGGTGTTTAGTTTCGGACCTTCACGATGAGAATGAAGTCATTCGCGATTCTGTTAGCTATTTTCGTGCTGGTGTCCTGCAAGGATGGAATGGCACAGCTCCTGGATGAAGATTGTGTGGCCCCCCCTGCCCCGAGGATACGTTATGGAAAAGATGCTCAGCCAGGAACCACTCCTTGGATGGCACAATTAAAAGTTAACAACACATTTATGTGCGGAGGAACGCTGATTCATCCATGTTCGTACTCTCTTTTTTTAAATTTTCACCCAATCATTTATTCAATCGTTCTTTTTGCAGGGTTTGTCCTGACAGCCGCGCATTGTTTTGACGAAACTGATCATTTGTAAGTAACCCCCAGATAGAGTTTATCCCCAATGTAAGAATTATTGTATCTTAGATCCGTTATATTGGGGCAGTATGAAACGTACTGTCATCCGCCAAATTGCACACAAAGCGAAGAAATTAATGTGATTAAGGCAATACAGCATCCGGAATATAGCCGAGTTAGACAAAAGTCTGATATAGCTCTCTTAAAATTGGAGAAGAAAGTGGACTACAAAAGTAAGTTGGCAAAAAGAAAAAGACTTATACATATATAGGAAATGTTAGGCTGGCATGTACGAGGCATTTTTGAATCGAAAAGTTATCACAAAATGATTCAAAAGTTTTTAATCTACATTTTTAAGTCAGTGTGATTCATGCACAGAGAGAATTAATCAAATAAAATGGAGTTCTCAAACTGAGTATTTCTAGCTGAGGAACGAGTATCTGATAGTCGATATACTCGACTATAGCGTTCTTCCTGGTTTTGTATTAATTTTTGACTCTCTTGAAACTAATTTTATTTCATTTATAACAATCTTTCTCTGGCTTCAGCTAATATCCGATCAATCTGCATTGTTATGGATGACGAGATAAACCATTTGTCAACTAAGGTTTTCAGGGCCTATGGATGGGGTCAAACGGAGAAAGCATCTACAAGCAGAGTCCTTCAGACCATCGCTCTTTTCCGAGTCGATTCGAGAATTTGTCGGGGGTCAGATCCCGAAAAGGAAATCTGCGCTCGCGCCAATTTGGGTGACACCTGCTATGGTGATTCGGGTGGTCCAATTGCGGCCAATATCACATACCGGAGAGAACCGATAACCACGCAGTTTGGAATCACGAGCAGAGGTTCCAAACATTGCAATTCTTATGCCTATTACACGAATGTTTATGGCTTCAAAAAATGGATTAACGATACTGTGCTGGCCAAAACTGAAAACAAGAACCAATTGCTGGATGACGACTGCAGCAACATTTGGCGCACATCTGGATCTATCCGGCAGCCGTGGAAAGTGCATATACTTCCTCGCTACTATAAAGGCGCACTTATAACAAACCGTGAGTATTTATAATGGAAAAATAAATCTCAGTAAAAAAATTTAACGTTTTCTAGGATTCGTTGTTACTGTTGCCAAGGATTTACCAGCGGAGGCCGAAAAAGTGTAAGAGCAAATTTATTATTATATTTTTATATTTTATTTTACTTCTTTCCCCATTTTTGTGGTTCAGTAAAGTTCAATCGCTCGGCGGTAGGATCTTTTCCGTTGAAGCAGTATACAAGCATCCCGATTTTAGAAGGTACCCGTTGATCACAAATAATATAGCTTTGATCAAACTCAATGAAGATGTTCCGTATTCTGGTAAGTATTTTCTATTGACCGATGTTTTCTCGTCATAACCCCTTTTTTTTTGTTAATTTGTTTTTTAAGAATTTCTGGCACCTATCTGCTTACGACCAAATACTCAAAAGTTTGTAGAGCCACCAACGTCGCTTACTGCCATTCTCCGCTCTTGGGATTTTTCTAAAAATAATCCCCAAATACAAAAGAATTTTTCTGTCATTGATAATTTGAATTGCGGCAGAATAATTGGAAAGGAACTGGAAGAAACCCAATTATGTTTAAATGGAGAGTTTATCTCAGAAGTATTTGGCAAAACTGAAGAACTCGGGTCGTACAATAAATTCTTTCTTCATGGTATAGCCAGCTTTGAAAGAAACGGTTTGACCATCCTTACAAATATTTCAAGTTACATGGCTTGGATACTAAAAACAATCAATTTTTAAATTTAAACAAATATTTTAGTATTTATAATAAAAATGGGGACTAGAATAGTATAAATAAAGAAAATAAAAAACAACGAAATATAAGAAAATATCTTGAAAAACATTAAATGTTAAACATTATTGAATGGGAACTATAAAATATGGGCACTTCCACCAAAAGGTCCACCAAGCCAAAAAACATGAAACTTGAAAAAAACATATTTCCACATGATTTTGCCGCCATATTAGTTTCTAATTAGTTGGATCCTGAGCTAAACTAAAAATTTGGAGTATAGTTTGATTATTTTTCTGACAAACCCCACCAATATATGCAAAAATCAGTTTTTGTCTATTTTTTTGTTATTTTTTGGACCTGTCTTCTGTTGTTAATTTATCCTATAGGAATGCTAATATGTGACATTTTTCTGTACTGAATGCTTCATTCACATACTAAACTATTAAGTTAAAAGCAAAACATCCAGCAATTGAGACATAGAGGTAAAGAAATCCGCTTTACAAAACAGTCGGAAAAAATGTCCCGAGCGACATGTCCCGAGCGAATGTTGTTAAAACTGCATAAAAAAAAAACGGCAAGAATTTTTTAAGTAAAACCAAAAGCATTTCACAGCGACATGTTTGAAAAACATTAAAAAAAAATCGCATTTAAATATTCCATCAGAATTCGCTAATTTCTGGTGTTGTATGAACTTCCCCGAAATCCACTTCAATTTTTGTCCCGAGCGAATACGGCAGTTTCTTACCGATATCTTAAAAACTAAAAGTGGTACAAAATCAAGATTTTCACAAAAAATAGAGCTTGGGAAGAGTGAAAAGCAGGGACCGTAATCATTATAAGTGAAAAAATTAAAATCTTCATTTAATGATTATTTTGTAAGCGAAAAAAATATCGCTCAGAAATAATGATTAATTTGTGAGCGATATATTTCGCTCAAAAATATCACTCAAAGTGGGATTGCATCCGTCCTACGCGAAATTTTACAAAGATTTAAACGTGCTCTTGCAAGTAGAACCACGAAGCACATATTCCGTTAAACAAAAAAAATAAATTTTCTATGTATAAACCGCTTAAAAAAAACAAAAAAACTTTTTGTATAAAAACACTTTCTGTGGGATTCGAACTCGTGCTTACAGCTCGGTGGACCAACACACTAGCACCCAGCCCACATGTCGGGTTGGATCTAAGTGGAATAGTTGTCAAGTCGTTTTACTAATAAATAAATGACATAAAGTTTTAAGGTTGATACAACTTTTTGTATTTAAGCATACCTCTTGTCAACTAAAAACCGCGTTTTAAAAAGTTTATACAAAGAAATCACCATCTTTTATTAACTCGATGTGTGCTTCGTGGTTCTACCTACAAGCTGAAATTTAAAAGTTTGTAAAATTCCGTACAGAACGGCTGCAATCGCACTTTGAGTGATATTTTTAAGCGAAATAATATCGCTCACATAATAATCATTATTTCTGAGCGATATTTTTTTCGCTTACAAAATAATCATTAAATGGTGATTTTTATTTTTTACTTAAAAAAAAATAATCATTATTTTCGGTCCCTGGTGAAAAGTAAAGCCCATAATTAAAATTAAAATCCATTATTTTAAAATTTTTTTTCCACTTTAAAGGTGTGCAAATGTCCCGAGCGACATTTTGGAAGTGCCCATATAGACCTTCGATCAGCCGATGAGCTTTCACGCTTCGCGAAATGTGCATTGTACAAATATGCAAGTACTTTTTAAAAAAAATTACTTACCGAAAACAAAGGCAAGCCGCATCGAGTCGGTGGTAAATTTCGTATATTAGTCAAAGAATTCACTTATTTGAAAATGCCTGTTATCGATTATACACGCGCCCACTTTAAACACTACGTTCTACGCGAATGACAGGAGCATGCATCGGCTAAGTTAGCGAATACACCCTCCTTGCAATCGCGTAGGACCGTTCGTCAATTTTTGATAATTTTCTGGTATTTTTCTTATATATACTGACACGAATTTGGAGGGAGGGTGTACTCGCTAACTTAGCCGATCCACCCTCCTAGAATTCACCAGTTAACCGTTAACATTCAAAGTGAACAATTGGGTGGCAACGCTTGCGAGCACTCTGGGAAAAATTGAAGGCTGCTGTATTAAATGCCAAAGTAATTTAGATCGTTTTTGAAAGTTAAGTATTTCCCGCCAAGGACCGTGCAACAACTTTGTTAGAAATCTGACCTTGCGCAAGAACTTTTGTGAAAAAGTGGCGTTAGTCCGTTTCAATACCGATCAGCGTGACCGTTCGGAAGCCTGTCGGTATATTTTAAAAATGAAATTGGTATATTTCTGCCGACGGTCTAACCATTTTCCTGCCCCCTGGTCTCTCTAAAAGTGACTTGGCATCATTTGGCAACAAAAAAAAATATAGTTAAAAACATTGTTTCGTCGTCTTTTGGTTAATTTAAAAACAGAAAATGTCTGCACCCGACAAGGAAAAGGAGAAAGAGAAGGAGGAGACCAACAACAAGGGCGAGGACCTGGGTCTGCTCGAGGAGGACGATGAGTTCGAGGAGTTTCCCGCCGAAGGTACGTCCCGTAATTAATGAATCGGGCGTTTCTCTGATTTTTTCGCAATTCCAACGCAGATTTCCGCGTTGGCGACGACGAGGAGGAGCTGAACGTGTGGGAGGACAACTGGGACGACGACAACGTGGAGGACGACTTCAGCCAGCAGCTGAAGGCGCATCTGGAGAGCAAGAAGATGGAGACGTAAACCGGCGGCGGCGGCGGCCCCAATTGTTCGATCCTAACCATAAAAACGAGCTGAGCTGTTTTGCAGTTTATATAGAATAAAATCAGTATATTAAGTGGAAGTCGACTGCCAATTGTCGCCGAGAACCTCGGCGAGCTGCTCACTCAGAATGGCATGGAGCTGCTCCTTGCCTAGATTCTCCTGCTCCAGTTCGCTGATGTTGTCCTCGAGCAGCTTTATCCGGTTCAGGCGCTCTTCGCCTTCGACCTTCAGCTTTTCGAGTGCCTTCTGCAGCTTGTCATGCTCCGCATCGTTCATCTGCCTCCTGGCCTCGTACTGCTGGGCGCCCCGGGCGAGTTCCTGCCTCATGGCCTCCGCATCCTGGCGCCTCTTCTGGTAATTGGCCTGCCCGGTGGCCAGCTGCTTCTCCATCGCCTCCAGCTGCTTGGAGCTCTCCTTGTAGGCCTCCACCTGGCTGAGCGGCAGCACAGCCTTGGCCTTCTCCAGGGCCGTGACTATCTGCTGGCTGGCCTCGATAATCTGGCGATGTTCGTTGGTCACCAGCTCCTTGTTGGCCAGCTCCGCTTTGCAGCTCTCGACGTGGGAATTGGCGCTCTTGATTTTGCTGCAATAGAGAGCATTATCATCAGAACTCAAGGCTTCCCCACAGCATCACTTACTTCTGCAGCTCGATCACTTGGCTGTCCTTCACGACCAGCTGCTCCCAGTGGGTGATTCGCTTGTCCAGCTCCGACTGCAGCTGCTCGATGAGCTCCAGGGCGTTGCTCTGCTCGCTGCAGGACTTTTTCAGCGGCAGGAGCTGTGCCTGGGACTGGTGCAGGTCCTTCTTCAGCTGGCCGATGGCCAGCTCGCACTCCTTCGCCTTCAGCCTGCGCTGCTCCAAGTTCTGGCTCTTGGCTTTCAGCTCGGCCGTTAGCGAATCCTTCAGCTTGATGGCCTCCTCCACGGGTGGCAGCACGCTCTTCTTGAACAGTTTGTAGTAGGACAGATAGTTGAAGAGGTAGCCCAGAATGGTCAGGGTCTTTTTGACAGCTGTGGGAGAGGAGTAGCTATTATTACTGGTACTTGAGTAAGGAAGGAAGTAAGGATGCTGCTCACCTGGCTTTATGATGTCCACATAAGAGTACGTCTTGTTGGGAAAGCAGATCTGGATGATGCGCTCCACTTGGCGGCACACTCGGATGAGGAAGACGCGCGCTTCCCGCGATGCGTGCGCCAGTTCAGAGCCCACTTTGTAAGGCGGTTCGACGCGGAATCCGAAGCATCGCAGATAGTGCACCATGATGTTGGTGACAATGGGCTCGGTGGGATGGGCCAAGTCGCTCTGCGAGATGTGGATGTCGGGCATCAGGTATTTGCCCTGGTCCACCAACCTCTCGATTTCCGCAGCCACATCCATTTTATCTGGGTTAAAAAGTTTCGACAAAGCGTTTTAAAATTTGCGTTTAAATTTGATGTGACCAGAGTTGGTTAGGCGGAAATTGCCCATTAGTAGGGGTATTCCCCTGTAATTAATGACATTTAAAAATACGATTTCCAACACTGCCTATTATCCGTTAACATTTGAAATTATTTTAAATTTAAAATATCATTACCAACAATTTAATTTCTATAAAATGATGTAATTTTATATCTATCTTATCAATTGCAACATAAATTAGTATTGTAGTGTTTGTAAATACTAATGGTAACTGTTTAACCGGTTTTTGGTTGCCATGGATTCTTTTATTTACCAAGTCTCTTTCCGATTTTGGTCTGTGAAAACGCCGTAAAATGGCCTCCTCCAGCGCTGTAGAAGATGAGCATCTCACTGACTCCGATTTAACCGATGATGAAGGTGAGTGGGTGCCGCTATTTCCGTTCTATAACCCCTAAATTCCTGAATTTAAATCCCAGAGCGCAGCGTGGAACCGCGCCAGGAAGAGCTGCGTCCGGAGACCCCAAAACCTTCCTACAGCGACGAGGAACTGCATCACCTGGTGGGCTACATACAGCGGATGTGCGTGCTGAGCTGTTTGGATCACAGGGACTGGCACGAGGGCGCTCTGGACATCATCCGGCGTTGGCTGCTGGAGGTGCACGAGCCCCTGCTGGCCATTTACTACGACAGAGATTCACTATCCGCCTGTCTGGGCCTCCCGTCCACTTGTGTCTCGGATCTGAGCTACTTTCGCCGGGAACCCAACGAGATCTTCAGCGTGGAGGGCTTCCACGATGAGATCAACTTTGGCACCTTGACGAGCGATGTGGATGGCTGTTTGATGGAGCTACTGGATCGCCTGTATGTCCCCTTCTTCCGGAACTATCTGGATTGGAATGGCACTGTGAGGAATCGCTTCTGTTCCAGCATGGATAGGTTCCTGGCCTTCCTCACCGGAATGCACCATCAAATCTCTGGCGTGGCCGTGCTATATGTGCCGTTTGTCATCAAGGAACTGTCGGCAGGACCCGTCGACAGGCAGTTGGTCAGGAGTTTGGAGGGGATCGCCTTGTATTGGACTACGCAGATCCGCACTTTGCTGGGCGATGATACGTTGACGGTTCCCCATGATCTGGTCACCGTGCGGGATGAGTTTGAGTTTTGGGAGTATCGATGTGAGTTGGAAGGGGTAAATAAAGGTTATACCCAAGAAAAAGCATGTTCCCGTAAAATCGATATGGCCATGTAAATTTCAGGTCATGCAAAACCCATATCGTTTTTACATGAAATATTTTTTTCGACCAGGTTAAATTTACCTGGCCACATATCAAATTAAAATTGATCTTAAATAATGTGAAATCGATCTACGTTTTATATCGATTTTTTTTTGGCTGTAAGATAGTTCTTTCCTAAAATCCCAATTATTTCTATCTCCCCAGATGAAGTTCTTCAAGGAATCAACGACCAATTGGCTCAATCAGATGTCCAAAAGGTGCTATTGCTATTGCACAACTCCCATTCCGTCCACTCCCCCCAGATGGAAGGACTTATAGAGAGGGCTAAGGTGGAGCTTACTAAAGCCCTGTCCAACATTAAGTTTCTTCACTTACTGATCGAACCCTGCTCTAAAATCGATGTGGCCACAGGTCCGGCGGATCTGACGAAGCTTCTACCACGCATTATCCACCTAATACGTTTTATATGGCTGAACTCGGATTACTATAATACAAATAGGCTAATTGCTGGATTGTTCCGGAATTTGAGCAACCAGATTATAAGGTAATCAATAAATATAAATTTAGAATAAATTTTATTGCATATTTTTCCCTAAACAGATTCTGCACGCAGCAAACAAAAGTCGAGGAGATTCTCTCCGGAAAGCCGCGCTTTGGTATCAAGATATCCAACATCGCCATTGATTGCTGTCTGGCCTACAAGGGAATCTATGGTAAAATATCCAAACAATTGGACCAAAGGCAGAGCCAACAACCCTGGGAGCTGGACGAGGGTCTAATCTTCAACCATATCGACGCCTTTGTGGAGCGACTAAATGATGTGATTGACATTTGTGAATCCATGATTGTGTTTGGTCGCTTGGATGAAAACGGGAGCATACCCAAACCGGCTTTCGGCGGCTCCAGTGGCGAGGAGCTGGAGAAGATTGCCGAGAATGTGGAGCAGCAGTTTCTGGACACCTTGAAGAAGCTGCAGGACAGCTCGCAGGCTTATATACTAAATGTACATCGCTCGGATTGGTACACGGATGTGGGCGACTTTCGTCGCAGCATGCGGAAGCTGGAGGAGACGGTCCAGCGGCTGATCTTCAATGTGTTCCAGCAGGTGTCCAATGTGGAGGAGACCCTGGAGGCTCTGCAGGCCATGCTCTTCTACTCCTACCGTCAGCGAGGAACTCTAAGGAAGACGTACCTCAAGGAAACCAGCGGAGTGTGGAGGATGTTCTCCCGGGAAATGGACGCTACATCGCGGAAACTGCTCGAGGAGCGAAGACAGGAGTCATGGTTGTCCCATCATTTGTCCATTGCCCTGGGCTATCGCATCAATCTGGAACGCCTGACTTGGCTAAGGGATCGCCTGAAAAATGCCGAGTGGCTGCCTGCCGTAGAGGAATCCTCTCCAGCTCTGGCCAAATTCGATTCACTGCGTCACGAGTTTCAAAAGGAAATCCGACAGGCCTACGAGGATTGGGTGGCCAAGTGCTGCGGCTTTTCCGGGGAACTCTCCCAGCGTTTGGATCGCTATCTGATTGTTCGAAGTAAAAAGTTCAAGGGCCTTCTGGAGTGCAATATCGATCCGTCTGTTCTGGAGCTTTGTGAGCAGGCCCAGCACTTTGAAAGAATGGGCTTTGCCGTCCCCAACACTTTGAAGAAACTTTACGAAAGATACGATGTTATAGGATCCCTGTATAATGGAATAATTCAACTGGCCCTCAGCCATAATCGCATTTTAACCGTTCTCAGCGAGCGGGAAAGGAAACTATTTCGACCGCTGATTCAAGCCTGTGATCGCCAACTGGCTCCTGGCATCTTCAAGATCGCCTATGGCTCGGAATTTAATGAGGAGTTCTTCGAGGACGGCAAAGAGTTCATCGCGGAGTTCCAGGAACTAGTGCACATATTCAAGCGTGCAAATCGGGGCGTGGCCAGGAGCTGTGGGAAGATCTGCGACACCTGCCTGCTGCACTTTGCATTTTCTGGCTCCGTGGATATGTCGGTGTTCCAGCAGCAGTTGTCCACTAGGCTGAATTCCTCGGGCGACATCCTGAGGAGCTACTACGGCAACATCGTGGAGCTCTTGTCGGCCTTTAGTCGGCAGTTCCAGTCGGTGGACGATGAGGTAAGGCGTTGGAGAATTTATTTAAATTTGTATGATGTTTTTATACCCGTTACTCGTAGAGTAAAAGGGTATATTAGATTCGTGCAAAAGTATGTAACAGGTAGAAGGAAGCGTTTCCGACCCTATAAACTATATATATTCTTGATCAGGATCACCAGCCGAGTCGATCTAGCCATGTCCGTCTGTCCGTCTGTCTGTCCGTCTGTCTGTCTGTATGAACGCTGAGGTCTCAGAAACTACAAAAGCTAGAAGGTTGAGATTTCCCACACATATTCTTTGGCTTCCTACGCAGCGCAAGTTTATTTTAGCCGAGCGCCACTCCCCCTCTAACGCCCACAATCGCCCACTAACGATTTTAAAATGGGTCATGCGCCAACATCTTTAAAGATTTCCGAAAAGTAAAAATGCAATTTTTTTGTGTATATTTATACCTATCGAAATGTAGAAGATATTTTTCAAATCGGAACATTCATTAAAAAGTTATACGCAATTAAAATTTATATATCTATCTCCCTCGCACTCCCTTTAGCTGAGTTACGATTATTAGTCGGGACACCAACCCGCGTTCGCACTTCCTTTAGCTGAGTGACGGGTATTAGATAGTCGGGACACCAACCCGACTATAACGTTCTCTCTTGTTACTAGCTGAATTTATTTGGAGAATCTATTCCACAGAAAATTGCATGACGGCATATGAATTAGCTTTTTCAAAAACCAAAATGTATAATAAGTAGCAAAAACAATTCTGGAAACTATTATATATAGTTTCTTGAATCAGCCACATTTAAGCAATATAATTTTAATTTTATAGCTCTAAACGATAAGTGTGGCGATCCAAAATTAATGTTTTCATTTGTATTCCGATTTTGTTCCCATTTAAACCAGATGTCGAAAGAGTGGATAGCCTATGTGAACGATATGGACGACATGCTAGCCAGTTCGCTAATGACCAGTGCCCGCGGATCCTTGAGCAAACTGTACGAGGCCCTGCACTGCGATGAGGATATGGCATCCGCTCCCATAATAGTCATCGAATCGGACGTGAAAGATGGTCGAATTGTCTTCACTCCCGACATGAATGCGATTGAAGACATGATAAACGGGATCGTAGACAGTATACGCAGCATGTTGGATCAGTTTCCGCGTCTGGGCTACAAACTAAAGCTGCCGAAGAAGCAGCAGCGTCAGGGATTCGCTAGCGTTTTTCGTGAGGATCAGGAATGCTCAGAGTTGATGAGATCAATTCAAGCGGAGATCGCCATCCAGCGAGAGGAAATCGACAAGTATGAATCGGTATGGAATCGAAATCGTGTCCTTTGGGAGACTACTGAGGAGGGATTCCGGCAGCGACTGATGTCCAGTTCACGAACAGCTGGGGTCTTTGAAGGGGGAATCGAACACTATAGTGCTTTGGCCGATGATGTCATCTTCGAGGACGCCATTACAAACGTGTACTTCATACTGATCAATCAGAATGCCCTGAAGAGCACTATCCTAGATTGGATCGAAAAGTGGCAGGCTCTCAATATTAAAATGTTGCTGGATTATGCCAGCAATTTGATGAGGGGTAAGTTTTACAGAATATATTTAAATATATATCACTATTTATTTTATGTCTCTTGTAGCAACCTACCGATATATGCGACGCAATGAGAGAAATGTGATGAAGGTTCCTCGTACAATCCGTGAAACCGTGGCTGCCAAACAGCTTTTCGAGCAACTCCTCAAAGAAGTTCCAGTGAAGCAATCCGCCTTTACACCCATGTTGGAACTCTTTGTGCTCCTGCACAAATATCAGGTTCAACTAACCGAGAAAACGTATCAGAGGGTGATGGGATTGGAGTCCGCTTGGCTGCACTACCTCGAAGTCCTAAGGGAGGCGGATGAAATGCTGGATAATGAGGGTGGTGAAACTAAATTGGAGTTGGCAAAACATGGTGAAAAGTTCAAGTTAATATTGAAGGAATTTCTCGAAGATTTTTACTCCAAGTTATGCAAGAAATAGGAAAGTATTAATTTATTGTATGTATTTAATGTAATTTTTCAAAATTAATAATTTTAGTTTTTTAATTTAAACAATACTTGGATAAAGTATAAACTTAAACTACACATCCTAAAAATTATATTTATTGATTGGGTGTTACTCATGCCATGTCAAATAAAAACTAGATGTAAGCAATTCGTCCACACGGCTTTTCTGTTATATTTTTTTCATTTTCAATTAGAATGCAAAAGCTGTTAAATTAAAAAGCCGCAAATAAGCTTGAAACCGACTGTAATTAAATTTGTTGTTCATTGAGCACTGATGTGCGGTTTAGGTTGATTAATCCCTGTATTTAACGACTTCGTGGGACAATGCGGTGTTAACAAAAAGATTGACATCGAATATAGAAATATCTGACACTAGCTTCAGGTAAGTTGAATTGAATTTGATATGTTCTAAGCACTTTAAAACTATTAAATTAATACTTTATATATTCTATTCTATATTTTACTTTGAGACTATCAAATTGATTGATTACATTATACGTATTTCATACTCTTATATTTATTCGGCTCTCTGATTTTTTATTTCGATTGCGGATCCAAATTTGTCAGTCCCATGACGTCACGATTGTTGAGTCGGTCTCGTTGGGTAACCAAATTGGCTGTTATCATTTTGATTGATTTATTGTGCGTTCGTGGGTCTCAGCTAATTAGCTGTTAATGTGAATTTGAGTCGGACGCCCCAGTCATGAACAGTTCGCCGGTCAGTTTGTCACTTTTGTCACTTTGGTGGCTCGCTTCCACTTTTTTCCTGCTGGCCGGTAACCCAACCTCAGTGGAATCACATCACATTTTGGGGCTTTTTGTGAATGTGCATCGATCCCAGTTAATGGTCCATTTGGCAGTATGTCGAGCTCTGCTGCAGAAGGGTCACCACGTGACATTGGTCACCACATTGCCGTTGAAGGAGCAGGAGATCCGGGGGAATGTGTCGCACATTTTAATTCCGTGGAAGCAGACAGAAGAGGAGAATCATAATGGATCTTCCTTTGACATAGTTCTCCATCTGCAGCGGATGTTTAGGCGCCTAGAACATTCAGGAGATTTGCTCAATCTGCCGGAGTGGAAAGGGTTTTTAAAAGAGCCACCTACTACTCCTTATGATCTGCTACTTTTGGGCTATCATTTCAACGATCATCTGTTGGGGGTTGCAGCGCATTTTAACTGTCCAGTGGCCATAATTTCCACCCAGCAGCCAACTGGATTTGTAAACAGCATAATGGGAAATCCCGAGGAGCGTTGGTATGTCCCACAACCATATGATAGTCGCCAGAGGACTGGAGTCTCAGCGTGGATATTTGGAGTTTGGGAGAAACTAATGGAGGCTATGGCGAGGAGAGTGCTAGCAAGGATTTATAGGTATGTTTTGAAAACAGTTATTACTTACTTAAATATTTTATTCAATTTGAAAATATTTATTTCATTTTTAGCTTGCATTTTCCCGAACCCCGTTACCCCAGCTTTGAAACCATGCGCCGATCGGTAGTTCTGGCCTTAAGTAATCATCACATGATCAGCGAGGGGCCCATAGCTCCTCTATTACCCAATATGGTGGATATAGGCGGTATAGTCTTGGAACAGAAACTGAATGACTCATCACACGAAAGAACGGCAAGCAATCGTTCGCTCATAATTTTCAGTTTGGGAACTCGTTTTACATGGCGAAAATCTTCTCCGAAATTGCTGCAGACTTTCACAAATGCCTTTGACCAGTTTCCGGACTATGACATTTACTGGACCTACGATGGACCAAATCGAAGTGCCATCAGTCTGGATTATCCCCACATAAAAGTCGGCAAATGGTGGCCCCAGCGTCAGTTATTGGAAAGTGGAAAAGTTCGATTGTTTATCACTCACGGCGGAAAGGGCAGTCTTTCGGAAGCTCTTTACTATGGAGTGCCCCTGCTGGGACTGCCTTTGATTGGCGACCAACGGGCAAATCTCCAGAAGATGCAGTCGAAAAATTGGGGCTTGACATTGTCTACCCACAATCTCACCCATTTAGAGCTATCCAAAACAATGGACAGAATAATTAGATATCCAATTTATGCTAAATCTATATCAGAGGCCTCCAAAATTTACCGCGATCGTCCAATGAAGTCCAGCGATTTGGCCACTTATTGGATCGAGTACATTATTCGTCATAAGGGAGCCAAGAATTTGTACAATCCCGCCAGGCACTTAAATTTCATCGAGTATTACTCCATCGATGTCTATGTGACCATCTATGGGGCCTTAATTCTAACAATAACCGTACTCAGGAAAATAGATCGTTTGTTGTGACTAGAAGTATCGTTTAATGTATACAAATATATTACATAAGTAGCTTAGGAGGTGAACTTAATCGACGATAACTTAAGTACACTCGAATGTTGTTTGACAATACTTCTGATCGGAACATGGGACTATATTTTTTGTATTTTTGCTTCAAGCTTTTTTTTACTGGCATCTTACTCTCAGCATTTATTACTATAAAAATTAACTTGAAGTGTGTCTGCTGTAAAAGTAGTGTTTAAAATGGTTTATGTGTTCCAGGAGGACCATATATATCAATTTAATATTATAGCTCATAATACTAGCGACTAAACATATGGAAGTTCCCATAAGGAGCATTTGGTAAAATTTATTCACCAAATCCTCATCATCGGGAAAGTCAGTTCTGGATTTATTTTGTTCAATGGCTAACTCGTATCTTTAAATAGTAGTATTGAATATGTAGTTTTTAGTTTATGCACAGTTCTGGACTTATGGTTTTCACTGGGGATTTGGTTTAGCTCTTGTTATGCTGGCGCCTCGATTGGATGTAGTTGTGCCGGCTTAGTGTCCGATTTGGAAATTCAGGGCGCGGACAACGGCCGTTTTTCGCATCATAAGGACCGTAATTGCAAAAAGGCGGACTGATTTCCCCACTTTGAATGCGTCTGTAAATATGTTTTTAGTGATTTTTTCAATCATTTGATATGAAATGATTACTCACCGTCGCTCCATCACCGAGAATCCCTCCAAGCCATTTTTCAGCCTCTTGCAGGTGTCGTCGCTGAGGTGGCAGTCGCATCGACAGCGCTGCTCCTTCAGTTCCCACGGATACACCTCCTGCTCCTCCTCCTCCTCCTCCTCCTCCACCGTAGGTGATTCCGTCCAGCTGAAGTCGATGAAGTGCTTCGGACATTGGCAGAGTGGACTGCGTTTGCGTCGGGTCTCCACCTTCACACACTCGCATTCCGTGTGATTTACCATATTAAAAAATATGGGTTCCCTGTGAGAGCCCTTTATCTTGAAAAACACCTTTTCCACTATTTGGTTCGTCTTCATCTGGCAGGAAGATTTTGCGGCGCAGCATCCGATCTTTTCGCTGCACCGGTGAAGGATCGTGGCACGCGGCGAATAGAAGGCATCGGTAGCCGTTGGGATGTAGACCACCTCCGGCCTTGGCCACCGACAGGCCCCATTCTCCGACATGAACTTTTGGTGGTTTTCGGCCCTTTTAGTGAGTTCCTTGATTCGAGCATCTGTGGAGAAAATAAATAATATTTAACGGTATAGTTTACGCAGGGAAAGGTTTGTGTATCATATAATGAAATCTTAAACATTTTAATGGAAAAGAAAGTTAAGTTAAGATTTACAATTCTTATTCCATTATTACTCAAGCTTAGTTATTTATAGCTTGTATGTTAATTTGTAGGCACTTATTCTAAAATTAAAATATCTTTTTTTTATAGCCAATTAAAACAAAAATAAATTATTTCAAACACTAAAGTTAGTGCAAGTAAAATGCATCCTGCTGCTTTGAATAATCCCCTTAAATGTTTCATTTTTACACTAAACCTATTAACATAAACACACTTTTTCGCGTATGTGTGTCATTGGAATAACCAGTTACCGGGCTCATTACTTAATAGCCCACTAAAGGCTGTTCATTCGCCTTCTCAATCGGTCGGTTCAGTAAACTGCCAGAAATTTTTCCCCTCCGCGTTTTCAATGCCTTTTGCGCGCGTTTTTCGTGCGTTTCGGTAGCGTTTTCGATCGCCCACTGGCTTTTTGCCATGCCATCGGCTTAAGATCATTTGTGCGATCCGACTTTTTTTATTGATCGGCTGCTGGATACTGCCCCTTTAAGGCCTTTTTGGCTGGCTTAAGTTTACCGTTGCAGGCGAGTTTTATTTATGGTCTTTTGTCGCGACTATAAAAAAAACGTTCAGAAGCGATCTTTGCATGCGGAATTAATTTTTTCTCGTCCGTCTGACGGTCATAAAGTTGCACGAGCCAAGCGGATTGGCGGGCAGGGGGAAAGTGTCTTCAAAGACCACCCAATGCGCAGTTAACCGAGGTAATCCCGGGTCCTAGTCCCAGTCTCCATTCATTCACCTACTGGGAGATCAACTTTCCAGGCGAATCTCCAAGGAAGATTCAACTGTTGGCTCCATATGTAATTTTCATAAATGCCCCATGATTGAATCATCAACTTAACGAGCATGCTGGGAGGGATCGGGTGGGTATTTGTACACTGTCGAAAAATCCCCTTTGAAATGGAATTTTTCAGAATAAATAGGGGTAAAAATGGAAAAGCTTTTTGAAAAATTTTTAATGGATTTTAAAAAGAAAGTTTTTTGCCCTACATATTTAAAAATATAAAATTATAATTCAAATTAAAAAATTGTGTATAAGTTGTTACAAATATTAAATTTTAAAGTCGAACTATTTATTGTTAAATTTGAACAAAAAAATGTATGCAGAAATTTCTTTGTTAAAAGGATTTGTAAAATTGAAGATGTTAGGATCCTAATTGTGTTTTATTAAAATTATTTTTCTTTCGGTGCATTTGAGGTAGCTGCATGATGTAGCGACAAAGGGTGGTGGAGCCGTTCTACTGCCTCAGCGTTTGCGGAGCTGCTTCAGCCACAACAGCCACATGAATAATTCAAGAGGTTCTAGCTCAACAAGCCAGGAGTACTGAGAACACAGGGTTTTTAAAGGGAATGGCGGGGTGAAAAATAGGGTGAAAGAGGGGGCAATTGCAATGTTCTTGATGCCTGGGTTGAGGAAAGTCTGCTTTGCTGCCTTTGAACTTGACGCCATTGCCCATGAAAATGTGGGCCAATCTGACGGACTCCAAATATGATGAGGTGAGGGGAATTTTCGTCCAAATTGCCATGGCTTTCCATGGCCAGTAGTTGGGCTTGGCCAATATAGTCATTTTGACTGTTCCGAAATGTTACTCATCGTTTAATAAAAGAAAAGTTAGTGAAAAGCACCAGGGATATTCCTCTTATCTCTTCAAATATACATCAGCATAACTCTATAAACTTTTAATAAACTTTTACCCATATCAAGTAAAGAATTTCTACACAAATTCCTATCAAAACGTAGCAAATTCCTGTTGGCAATATTTAATTTTCTTAAGCTAATAATTACTATCATCTTCATATGAGTCAAAGTAAGTAAGTTTTGTTACGGGTAAAAATCTTAGATGCTTAACTAAAACAAATGCAGCTGAACAAATCGAATGTGATAAGAAAATTGCATCATTAGGCATTTACGACCACATCCACATGGATTTCCATTGACAATTTCCCAGGCTGAGTGACACACTTTTGTTGGCTTTTGCCCCGACTCTGTCCACACGCTCTTAACGGTATTACCAAAAACAATTTTCGCGCCCATTAAGCGACAACAATTTTCCGCTCAAATGCAAAAGACAGAGAAAATGGAGAAAAGGGGTGGAGATAAAAAAGTATTGAGACAGACCGAGCTCACATTTCATTGTCAGAGGTCTGGGTTGAGATTGTGGTTGCCTCGTAATTGTCAATACACTGAGAAAACAACTGTATTTAAATTTATTTATATTTATATTTTTACAAAATATATAATTTAAGATGTTGTCTACTTCTTGTTCTTATAATAGATTTATTTTATTTAAAAATTCAAAAGAACTGCACCAACTAATTTAAATACTTTAAAAAAATTTCTGTGGAACTTTTGTAACAATACCTTTTGTGGTTCTAGAATATTGTTTCTCTGTATCTCTAATGGGGATTTTGTAAAACCTAGTGGCACTAAACTTGTAATGAAGTAATTGGCCAGATCTATGCAAGTCTCCAATCCTCTCCCCAAAAAAAAAAAAAACAAATCAACAACTTGAACTAAGAGAAGCGGCATGTGTGTATTTGCTGAACAAGAAAACTCTCCTTTTAATTGCAATGAAAGTGCAGATGCTTCACCCAAGCGACAAAAAAACGTAGAAAAAGGGAAAAAAGCTGTGGAAAAGTATTTTTTGGGTAATTTTTCAACTCTTTAATGCGAAGTTTTCACTCACTTTCCTACGGTTAGAAAGTAAAGTGCGTGAAATAAGCTCAAGCCTGACTTTTCACCCATACTGTTGTTGACATTCGTGCTCTGGTTTCACATCATTCACAAGGAGAGTCACGTGCCAAAGGATAAAACAGTCATTTTCATTTCCATTGTCATAAATAACAGGAAAAGCAACTGGGATTGCCACGCACTCCAGCCACAGTTGTGGAATTACAAAGGTTGCCTTGGATCAAAATATATGAAAACATTAATATTAAAATAAAAAAATATACTATTGGGACAACATTTTCTCAGTTTTTGAATTAAAAAAAAATGAAGATGAAAAAAAATGTGTTTTGATTGGTTTTAAATATAGTTTTAAGACCGCTAGTTCTTGAGAGTTCGAATATTTTTTTTTTTGTCGCATCAACTGTTTGCCTAGCCCTTATTTACTAAACCGCGAATTCTTGAGAGCTTGTATATTTTTTATTCGTTTGCTTCTATAAACTTGGCATCAACTGTTCGCCCAGCTCTCCTTTTGCCACATCAAAGGCCATTTGATGGCGTTTTGTTTGGCTTGTTTCGCCCTTTCGCATAGAGAATTGCATGGAGTTCGCTTAGCACATTTGCTTAGCACATTTTTTATGGCCAGAACGTGATGATCATGGGCGGGCGCCTCGGACATCTATTTGCAGCACAATTACGGGGGAAGGGAGTTGCCATTAATGGCCCCAATGAACCCCGACCGGGGAAAATCTTTAAAAAGGGTAAAGGGTAGCGTACTCACTATTGACTTTCCTCGCTCTGGCTTCCTCGATGGCATTTGGGGTTCCATACTGGACTTCCCTCTGGGCTGCTAACGCGACCGGCGGCTGATCCGATGGATAGTCGTCGTTCTGTTTTCATGAAACAAAAGAGCATACAAAATATGGAATATTAAAGCATTGAAAGGAGATAAGGCAATGTAACAACCTACATATGTGAACAACACCTAATTTATGGATATAGTCGGTTTATCTTGTATTATTTTATTGTTTTTTCGACAACCACGTAACTCTATTCCGATTTACAGAACGAAATGTTTTGCGGCTTTCATTATTATTGCACAATGCGGCTGGGCATCGCTCCTTTTCCACGTATTTTTTCATCCATAAAGTATTTACAATTTTGTGCCACTTTTTATGGCAGTAAAAACATATAGACCAGCTAATAAATTGGATTGTGCAATATGACAGCATACAGAAGGGTTTTTCCCATATTTACTCAATGAAGAATCGGATGAATCAAAATAAACAAATTTTCAAAAATATTATATTGCAATATTCTTGGAACATATTTAGGAAAATCAGCAGTAATTAAAATTATCTGTTAAGGTGTTTAGTTTTCTTCCTATTTATTTATTTACTTTTAATTTAATTTGTTATTGTTGTGAAATTAAAATGTAAGCCAATGGCAATATGATAATAAATTATTGACCTTGAGTCTTTTTATCTTTTTGCCTTTGTCATTATTAATATTAGAACAATAATCTTACGACGTACCGGAAGCTACTGACAAGCAGAACATTTATGTTTGTAAAGTAATTTTCAATTTATGGTGAAATATTTAAATTTCCATGGTATTGTTCTTGCTTTGGTTTTTTCTTTGCACAGAGGGCGAATAAAAATAAAATTCAATTTATGCCTTTTGATTTATGTGTGCTGGCGAGTTGTGCTCACGCAGCTATTTTGATTTATTTAACAGATTTTTAACACGCTTCACACAAGAGCCGCAGCGAAAGGGGAATACCAAGTGCAGGTGCAAAAGGAAAACTGCGTGCCACACCTGAGAGCACCTGAAAAGCTATCACTTACAGCTCAAAGAGCAACGGCAGCGGATGTGGGGTAAAACTTTTACAATTTGCATTGCCACACACATATATCGATTTTCAACAAAGGGATGGCTGCACTGGCTTTTCCCACGTTTTTCCAGCCCCAAAAGGCGCCCCCCGAATGTCATGAAAACTAACGACATGCATATAAGTGATACATAATGCGACAAGGAGGAGCGGAAAATCGGAAAAGCGGGAGTGGCTGCCTTCTGGGTGTAATAAATGAAGTGTGCATGTAAGAAAAATGACACCGGCAGAAGCAGAAAGGATAAAGCAGCCAGGACACAACTCCATTCGCATTCCCAACAGAGTCACCAAAGCGTTAAGTGAAATGGCCAGCGAAATGGGTGAAAGGGTTTGGGGTTGCAAATGTGGGCGGTGGGGGATCCTTCGTTTGCGAATTGAAATTGAAGGTTTTTACGCCAAGTCATGCCCCGCATGCAAAAGAAGCTAATGGTTCGGATGCATATACTATATTTTTTTGGGAGCTTAATGACCGCTGATCATGACTGCACGAAATCGGGGGATCCTTTAACATGAGTCTTTATTTCGATTATGCTTAAGCATTATCATCAGGAACTACTGATGACTACCAATGAGTAATTATTTTGATTTTGTATACTTCTATTTTTTTACAATGATCGTTTTCCCTAGACCAATCAAAGTCGTTCGAATCGGATCCGGAATCTCTCCGTCCTATTTCCTTTCCATGCCCCCCTTTCTGATATTTCTTTTAGGCAACACCTCAGCTCTCTTTTCTTATAACCAGCTCTACTTAAGCTTCATTACGCATGCTCAGCCATGACACGACCATTTCATCCAGACTGGCAGTTTTTAACTCCCCGACCCCCAACCCTCCCGAGATTCCCCCCTAGAATTACCATCAATCTGGAGTGCCAATCCCAGGAGCAGGAACCGGAGCTATAGCTGCACAGAGAAAAAATACGTAGGCCTATATATAGTATATATATTATATACAAGAAATTGTACTTGTTGTTCAACAAAGTATTGTCTAATTAATGTTTGTTTGTTGTTTATTCATGTTTGCAGTTCGATTTGCTGAATATACTGATATTAACAAATATTGAAGTTATAAATTAATAAATATTAAAAACTGAATTTCCAATTGATTTTCACAATTAAAGTTCTTTATTTTTTCACTGCAGAACCGAAGTTGAGGCAGGGACACATGAATGAACAAAAAAAAAGCCATTAAGTGTCTGCGGGGTTGACAGTATTCGAAAACAGTTGGTTTTTCTTAGGCCCGCTCCAGCCAGTCTCCTCTATACAAAATAATAATAAAAAAAGCCAAACTTCATTTGCATTGCCCCTTGTTCTGTTTTGAGCGTTTGAAGGATGTTTTGGTCGGAGGAGCAGTTTCTTTATTATTTTTCACTCTTGTTTTTTTTTCCACACCTTTTTTGTTTAGCCTCAATTGGGATTCCTGGCGTGGGTGTGACTTGTGTTTGGTATTTTACGACCCAGAAGGTAACAACAACAGCAGCGACAACAATAATAAAGAGCCTGTCGTGGGTTTATTTGCAATCAAAAGAGTTATGAGCCAAATGCAAATAGCGCACCCAGTACCCTGTTTTACGATCCTCATTCCCTTACACTCTAAAACAAAATCTAAAACGCGAAATTAAAATAAAAATTAAAGTATCAAATATCAAAATATCATCTGATTGTAAGACGAGAAATTCAACATCGATATTTTGTGAAAAATACAAAAGGAAGTGGTTCCTAATTTACATATAAAACAAAACAAAATTCTTATTTTTATTCAAATAAAGTTAAGACTTTTCTTTATTTATTCCAAAACTATTCATTTTAGTGTACTTCTCGGGAGTTCCAGAACTAAGCCTCTGACAGCGAGGTTCAGGGCTTAAAGGTGTTCCTTTTTGGTTGTCCCAGGTCAAGATTAAATACCCCCTTTTTCCTCGCTCTTTTTATGCATGGTAAAATGCGTGAATGGGCAAAAGATGAAAAAGTAGGAGAGTTGTGGGAGAAACATCATCAACAGGGGCAGAGGCGGTACAAAAAGTCTGGCCAACAAATTCGCCGACAACTGTGCAAATAAGCAAGGGGCGGTGGGTGTGAGGGGGGATTGATAATAGACCAGAAAGGGCTGGGTGGTTGGACGAGGGACCAAAGTTGCAAATAGTACAATCCAATATTTGTTTACGCCAAAGAGAGTACAACAAACAGGGCCAACTAAATGTGCACTGCCTTCCTCGCCCTTTACATCTTTCATTTTCCCCGGAATCCCCCTTGGAATCCACAACTATAAATGGGCAAGTACGTTCACAATGAATCGCTTTAGCTAAATTAGAATTTTCATCCAGAAGGGAATGACGAAATTCGCAATAGGCCACTGGGTACAAAAACATCAAGTATTTGACTAAATTTGGTAAAGCACAATTTATTACAATGTTTTTTTTTGTTAAAAAAAAAGATTTAGGGAGAATGTATTAGTTATTTAGTTGATAGTTTTAAAATGACAAATTAATATTTTATTATTGTCTAAAATATTACGAAATATTAACAATACTAACTTAATTTAATTTAAAATATTTTAATTTATATTATTTTTCTAAAGTTACACATTTATTTAAATAAGACTATATTTTCATTTATTTTTCTAAGTTCTCTGACTCTAGATCATTGCATAATTACACTGCATTTCTTTCATCGAAAAGAATCAACGCAACTCATTGATTTGACAAATTAAAAAAAAAGCTGCATGAGAGAAATGTTTCATTTCTTTTTCCTTTGAAAACCAATATTCTCCTCTCTAGGGCATAACCAGTTCGTTGTCAGTCTGCTTTTGAGGCTTTTCAGTTTGTGTTTTCTTAATTTGTGTTGAATGCGATGCCGCGAAATGCAAATGTAGCAATTGCAATTTGACTAAAAGCTAAGCAGGGAAAATGGGAAAATGTATGAAAAAGCGCAGTGAGCAGCGTTTGGGAAAATATACGCCTCCATATATTTTCCGTTTTTTTTAGAACTATTAACATGGCCCAGACACGAAGAGATGTGAAAAGGGGAGGTTATGGATGGACCATATGGCGTATGCTTAATGTGTCATGGGTTTTTCTCTTTCTTATTGTATTTCCAGTTTGCTCTTTATACATTTTTTGACATAAAAGTACCAATTAGGCGGGCACTCACTCACCGCCCTCCCCCTTCCCAATTCGACAATTAACTTAAGTAATTAAAATCGGACTCACTTTGCATATTCACTCGGTGTTTTCCTTTTTTGCATATTAATTGAAACTACTCGCATTAAAAGCCCATACAATTTTATACTTTTTGGCGGGGCAAGTATTTTGAAAGAAACACAAAAAGAAATGCGCAAAAGGACGGGCTGTATAAAATGCTTTTTAATTTTTAACGAGCGAATGTAGCCGCGAAATCTGCCGCGACTGCTTGGCCGTTTATTATGACAATTTTATATTTGTTTGCTTTCGGCCGACTGCGAAAACGAAAGCAGGCAAAAGGAAAGCATCAAGGCTGAAAGCAGAAATCAGAAAGCAAAGACGCCGCCTTTGGTACCATAAATGGCTATAGCATCCATCCAATGTCAATGACAGAGAGATGATGTTTCTGGCCAGAGAGCTGGCTGCCTGCGTTCAGGGATACAAACTTGAGACTATGTGTTTTAGATTTTTCATTTCGATTTTGGGACAATTTGGAATGATCTTCTTAGAACTACCGATTGGAAATTGAAATAAAAAATATATATATTCTAATATTTTTTAAAAATTTAATGAACAATTTGTCAGCCTTTTTACTTTTCTTTTTAATACAGCAATATTAATTCAATATACGTACAACAATCGGTTGTTTTATTAACAATATATTGAAGATACACCAAAATAAAAGCCTATCAACTCTGATTAAAAGATTGACTTGAAATATTGGGGAACAAAATAAAATTAATTTTCTTGTGGTTTAAATATGAGTCAATAATATTTTCACAAGACAAAGTAAAATAATAATATATTCATTCTTGACACTATAATCTAATACACAATCCAAATTTATTTTATATTGTATCCCTGCCAGAGGTTGAATCATCCAGTCACGGAGGCGCCTACCAATTAAATGGCCCATTCACAGACAAACTCACTGCAAAATATAGCAAGTTGCTGTTGGCGCAGCTTGGCAAATGCCGGAAATGTGAACTGATGCATCATCATCATCGTCGGAGGGATCGATCGAGAAACTGATTGCCAGTCGAGACGTCGATTTGAAGAACATGTCTAGGAAAATGTGGGGGGATCAGATTGGACCCCAGAGGGATAGAGAGAGGGGCTGGGAGTGTCGGGGTTGTCTGACTCTTCTAATTGCAACGCCCACACGCACCGATCGATTGCCGCTAGATTGCCCAAGAGATTGAAACGTAGCTGCTCCACCGATCAACCAATCCACCGATCTCCCGACTCGTCTGGCCTGCTCTAGATTGACTTTTCAATCTGCAATTTGTTTGAATTTATCAAAGGCGATACACTGACTGACAAAGAGGAAATATTGACTTTGTTGTGAGACTCATGCGCAAATAAACGATGGGGGATACGGAAATATGGGATTCTGGAATGTGGTAAATGCTTTACTTTTAGAATAAATAAATAAATAACTTCTGTAATCTTTAATTTTATAGAACTTTGCACAGTTGTTAATCTCGAGAGTAGGGAATTTCCACATACATAATCCATTGGTATTTCTTGCTCTTAACTTTCACAACATAAAAGTGATTTATAACGTATAACATGAAACATATTTGTAAATTTTTTACAAACGTCTTTCATCTCTCCCGAAGATCGCTTGGTTCCGCAAAATATTCCCGGAAAACATAGATCACACAAAGGGAGAAATGGCCATTAAATTTAGAACAAAGGAATTTATATGATTTATGTTCCCGAAGAGTGTATTAAGGCCTCGTCTTGGCCGTGATTTATATTTGCTGGTGGGCCTTAATTGCGTGACTCTTGGCGCATGCCCCGTTTAATGGCCAACAAGTCGCCGGCGATCAATCAGCCAGTTCGCACAGTCGGGGCCAGTTAATTATTGCCAGCAGCCGAAAAGCGTGAACTCTTTGCTCCTAATTTATTGGTCTGGCGACAAGTTCCCCTACACTTTCCTCACGCGTTTTTTCTTGTCGACGGGTTTTCCACGTTCATTAGGCGATGTGTCGCAGACTAGAAATTAATAATATAAAATTTTATAGATTTGCCATAAATATTCAAAGCTTCCGCCTCAAATGGTCGAAGTCGGCTGGACTATTAGTCATAACCAAATCATTGGCATGTGAGTACTTTGTAGACCGCCCGAAAGCAGTTTGCAGTTATGTCATAAGCCGATTTGCCCGTCATTAGCTTTTTTTATATTTTTTGGTAAAACGCGCCACATTAAGATTGCTAATAAATCAGAAATCTTGCCGACATTTACATTATCCCCAAATATACTTTGGTGCGTGGCAACAGATTTCATCGTTCAACTCTGTGTGGCAATAGACGGAGTCAACACAAATTTAATGGGGAAAGAAATTTTATAGGAACTTTTGTGTTTATTTCTTGATTCACAGTCGAAACGAAAGTGAAATGATTGCAGTTGCGAAGTGCTTTTCGAAAAAAATATTTGCATTGTTTATGAACAGATGAATGAGTATTGACAGCTGTGAAATGATTTTTTAAATATAGTAAGTGTGTTTTGTTTAAGCATATTTCAATTTGAAATACAATTTTCTATGATATTCTAAAATAATTTATTAACTATAAATAATTAATTTCATTCTCATCAAGTTAAGATTGATATTTATAAATCAGAATGTGTTATCTAGAGGAGTTCAAGTGCAAATAACTCTCTTTTTCCCCACGTCTTTAAGTGTCTCGTCAACTTTATGTATATATTGCCGTAGATAACCTCCTTTTATTCCAATCCCGCTGGTGATAAAGGCATTTTCTAGTCATTCAACTATTGCGATTATACAATTATGAGTCGCGATGCTAACGTCCAGATCAAGTTATATTAATCGCACATTTGCCTATAAATACATATGCAGATTTAGAATTTATTGACCTTGTGATATAGCAACTAAGTTCTTGATGATTAATCGATTAAGTCAATTTGTTTTCACATTCCGGCTGGTTGCAATACAAGATTTTATAGTGACCTATTTGAGTCTGGTTTTTCTGTTCGAAATTAAAGCAGGGCTTTCACAACCTTAAACTTTAAACAACTTACAATAAGGCACGATGGCATCATCGGGGTTTTCCAAATGTCAAATAAGAACTATGTACAAGAAATAATATTGTAAGAATATAATAAAGTGGGGAATTGGTGGGAACTTTTGGAATTGGAATTTTTACGCTCATAACCAAGATATGAGACCCATTCCCAGTTCTTAATCTCAGTGCAGTTATGCGCACGGAATGTGATGGCAAATAAACAGGCAAAGGTAAACACACGGAGAGAAATGAAATGGTATGTGAGGAGGCAAGTGCAGCGGTTTCCCAAGGCGAAAAGGTAGTTGGAGGGGCAGGGAAAAGCAGAGTGCAGAGTATTCAGTTCCAACGAGCAGATATTAAATTCCTCTTTTCAGAGGTCAAAAGGAGGGGTCGATGGGAGGTGCGGATATTAAGGTAAAATCATGACCACAGACCATAAGCTTTTTATGCCGCCTGAGTGCATCAACCACCCACTCTCACTCGCATCCCCATTCCGATCAATCCCCTTATCTTTTCAGGCAAGCTTATTGAGGTACCTTTGCCATTGGATCACTTATAGTTTCAAGCAAAAGTGTGTGCAATAAGAGGGCAAATAAGACTCAACGACGGGGAACAAATCGGGAGCCTCTGGTTGATAAGCGAATGAACCGCAATCAAGGCAGTGATTGTCGTTCATTTCGGGGAATTCCAAAGCAATATTTATATAGGCACTAGTGCATTCACGCAATTATTGTTTAATATATTATATCATATCAGATAATTAAATAAAAATATAGTGTTAATGTTTTACATTGGATCAAAATTCCCATGAAACTTAAAAGTGGTTTATTTGATGACGCAAACCATCTAATATTCTTGGAAATGCCCATTTGCAGAATGTTTGTTTAATCAGTTCCAAGATTTGCCAAAATCTGTTCCTATTAAAGCTCGTTGTTTAAGTATTATTAAAAATTTAATATGAAATATAAGAAATCGAAACGACTTTTCAAGCAATTCTATTTACTTGTCATGGTCATACATTTTTAACAACGGAGTCATTGATTAATTCTTCTATCAGATGTTTCATCTCAATTATGAGTAATCAATGTAAATCAGAGAGTCAATTTTCCCCTAATAAATCCCATATATATTTAGGCACGATTGATTTCCCTTTAAGGGCGGCAACAGTTACAAGTTGTCAAGTCAATTGGGCCAATTAACGAGGGACCACCATAACGGAAAGTCGTGTCTTAAAGATCCCTTTAACAACCCGTTTGCATTTTCCCCTTTTTTATTATCATCGGCCAGCTGTCGGCCATGGAACAGAAAAAAATTAAAAATAAAACAACAAAGCGACAGGTTCTTCCCGAGATCCCCCTTTGTCGCTTTTAAACGGATCGGCACAATTACAGGCCGGAAAGTGAAACCGAAACCGATCGTTGAGTAGGGATCTCTCTCTTCTGGATCTGGGCATTATGTTGGCTCCCGTTTGCACACCGCCAAATTGGCTTGTTAACCAAATTGGTGGCTCCTACCTGCCGCAACACGTTTCATAATTGCCGCCGTTGTGTAACTCCTTCTTGCCGATCCCCAGCCATATGGGTGGGCTTTTCGATCTGCGATTCGCAATGGGTGAGCGGCTCGGAGATCGCTGCGATTGCACGTCCCAGGGTTAGTCACCCGTCTCCGATTCACTTACGCGCCGAGGTTCAAGGTGAGCCATCTCGTTTCGATTCGATTCTGATTACCATTCCGATTCTAATGCGCAACAACTAGCAGCAGCTACTAAAGATACTTTGAAAATTCATTGAGAATTTGCGAAAGGAATAAAAAACTGTTACATAGAAATATTCTGCTATGCAGATTTACTTAAAAAAAAAAACATATATTCAGATTTTTAATTTCCTCGAAACATTTCAGTACGTGCCAAAATTAAATTTCCAAAAATTTTAATGATTTAATTATAAATCTGAATTGAAATACGAATTCTCTTGAAAACTTTAAAGTCAAATCTTAGAATGGCTATCAGACACAATTATTAAATATTACTGAGGCTCTAAATATGATGGAAATCATTTTTTATTTAAGTTCTCAATTGTTTCTATAAAATTATATGTGTTTTTTTCAAAGAATAATTGATGCGAATATTTCCTTTTTAATAGTTTTGTCAAAACTAATTTAATTTTGTTCTTTTAAAATATATTCATAAACATTCGTAATCCACCTTTCCTTAAGTGTCATAAAATTAAATAACTAACAAATATTTAATCGGCTTAAAGCAGTTGTGAAGAAAAATAGAATGAAGCGAGTCAACAGGACCATATTTTTATGGGTTCCGCGAAGTGTTTGCTTTCGTGTGGGTCCCAAGATTAAAATGAAGTACTCACCCCATCGTCGGCAGTTTCAGAATCGAGGCGATTATCGTCAGCCTGCCCCAAGAGGTTGCCATTGAGTCTGCGGCCATAAGGGAACCCTTGCTGGGTGGCCGGCTCACGTGCCACGCGCTTGTGGGAAAACCTCGGGATCTCCCGATCTTCGGAATACTCCCCGATAACGTAGGGCTTCTCGTCCTCATTGTAATATTCTCGTGGAGGGAGGTAATAACGAGGTCGATAGGTATGTGGATGAGAGGTGGTCCTGGGCAAGGTCGAATTCCTCACGTCAAAATAATTATTATTTATGTCGGTTGGAAAACTGGAGTACACGCGTGTCGTCTTCATAAAGAAGATCGCGAAGATTGCGAGCCCGATTAGGAGATTCATTTTTATATTACGTTTTGTTTAGTGTATTTATAAATATTTAAATTTTGTAATGAGATTTGTATTCTTATTTTAGTTTCATTTATATTGTTTATGTTTTTGAAATAAGAATATTTTAGAAGATTCACAATATTCTTTGTTATTCACTTTTCTGAAAATAGGCAAAGAGAAATGGAATAAGCAATTAGTATTTGGTGGCTAGGCCTTAGGCACAAACAATTTTTATTTTTTTTTTTTATTTAATTTTGCACTAATTTATTTTAAGATTTCGCACTTGTTTTATTTTTTTGCACAAATGTGAGCCATTTATTTTGGTTCTGTTAATTACATTTTGCAGGATTTTTGTTTAAATTTTTTTTTCAACAATTTGTAAGACAATTTTTTGAGTCTAACAAGTTGCTAAATGTTTTCTTTTTTGGCACACGCCTTCACTTTTAACGCACGGCTGCACAGAATTGGCGAATTTGTCGGTTGAAAACATTCAAAAATCTTTCTTATTTAATCGTTTTTTATTTACAATGCATTTTGTTTGCTGCCTGCTTGTCGAGAATACAATAATTTTTACCGGCAAGGCATTAAACACGATATTTTGGCTTTAATAATATAAACTAGACACGATTTTTTATTAAGATTTTAATACGTTTAAATTATAAAGGTAAAAAAAATAATTTGGTTTTGATTTATTTATTAACACATTTTCCTTCTAGATTCTAATTTATATTTTCTTTTCGATTAATAAAAGGTCCAACATATTTTTTTACAACCAGTGGCGAAATTATTTTAAATGAATTTGTCAATTAATTACAAGCACTTATGTAAATTTACTCAGATAGCTGATTGATTCTTGAATGGTATACCTTTTCACAAAACTTTCAAAAGGACATTTTTATTCACTTTGTTTACTTTATTTCAAAGTACCCGAATAATTGTAGGACTTTTAATTTAAATAAGGGATTGAGCCGAGCAAGCGAACCGCGCGCTTCGAGTGCCTGTTTTGAACTGATTGAAGACATTTGCCGGCGATCCCCAGCAGCCAAAAGCTTGTTCTCTCTTCGCTCTTTTCACTCAGACATTAAGAGTTTTGTGCTCAGACTGAGTAAAATGAAAACGAACGAACTGAGTGCTCTTATTCACTTTAAGAACAATACGTATTAAATTAAGTTGTTACTGTTAAATTTTGTTGAATATTTTAATAAGACAATTTTATTATTTTAAAGCAGGGACCGTAAATAATCATTATTTGAGATTTTTATTTTAAAAAGACTACTGCGATATTTTGTTTTAAACGTCAAAAATAAAGTTCTTTTTACTCTTGTCCACAAAGTATATGCATTTCAACAAATCTGGAAAGCAAATTAACTGTTATTTGTTCATGTCTATAAAGTGCATAAAAACCAGGTATATTGTTGATTAAAACTTGTAAAAACCTCAGTAGGCCTTTTAAAATAAAAATCTCAAATATTGATTATTTATGGTCCCTGTTTTAAAGTCCTATTAGAAACATGTTTGCTTTATTAAAGTGAGACTAGGAAAAGATATTAAAACCAACAAGTTTATAGTATCCTTCTGGTAAAACCTGTTTATATATTTAACTATGAATTGATTCTTTGGAATATATAATTATTACTGAGAACAACTTAATAGGTACTTGATATGATCAATGGATTTGGGTTAGTCTCACGTTTTGCCAAACTGTAATAGAAATAATATATTATTCCATTAATTTTGATGCACTGTGAACTCACATTTTTAACTCATTCTCTCTGTGTGACTCCAATTTACTCTGACACTGGTGCGATCCGAGTGCTTTTCTTTAAGAGCAAATTGACTCATACTCTCTTTTTAAATGCGTGAGTCAGAAAAGGCTCAGCTACGAAAATCTTTGAAAACTCACACGAAAATCGATCTTTTTGTAGGATATACGAAAGCAACATTACATTTCCATGTTGATACATATGTTGGTGGAGTTAGTTATAGGATTTTGTAGAAAAGGCAGTAAAAGGTTGAACAGCGTGATCTCTTTTATGTCTTTAACGAACAAATAAGCGAATAATATTCGGTTAAAACAGCTGGTGCTGTTGAAATGATAATTTCACAATTTCTGTATAATTTAGAGCAAATCTGTTGCAAAAATTGTGGAAAATTATGTTGCATGCTTCGCGAAAGCTGTTGTTACACTTTATTATTCTAATCAGTATGTATTTTCAAATTATGGTTTTTTTCCCACTGAAATAGTTATAGTTTAACTTTTCTGGCGTATCTAGGCATTAGAAAATACTTAAATATTATTCTGTAATGCGGACTACATTGCAGATGATTCATCGTCGAATGCAACAGGATACAAAACGTATTTGGTGAATCACAACGTGTATGATACGAATTCTTTGAAAATAATAAGACCAGTTTTAAGGTTTCAAAATCTGTGTTAATATTAAATTTTCAAAGACCACAAAAAAGTGAAAAAATTTTGGAGCCTTCTGAGGAAATGTTGATTCATACACGTAAATTAGTATACGTAATTGAGTATACGTAAATAACTTTAAAATAGAAAGTGTTCTTAATGGCGAACTTATTTTATTAGTTTTTTCATATGTGAATAACCAACCTTTTTTTATATTTATGACCGCATTGCAAATGATTAATTGCCGAAAGTAAGGATAGAAAGATTCGGAAGTCCAATTAGTTTTTTACGTAAGAAAATGTTTATAGCTAATAATGATTTGTTTTTCACTGACTAATACATAAAATAATGAAAATTAAATTGTAACTAATGATATGATGACTTATGTAATTTATGAATTATTTGTTTAATATAAATTCCTGTAACTTTAAGGTCTAATTTAATGCTTCGTTTTGAATTTTAACTATTAATGTCATAAATAAATGTAATTTAACTATTAGTTAAAATGATACCTTAATTCATAAATTCATTTTAATGCGTTTTCTTATGAAGGCGCTTATCTAGTAACACGTTATAAATAGAAGTGAGATCACACCTATCATCCACATTCTAAGGTGTCGACTATTAAAGCCTCATTTACAGGCCAATTACAAGTAAGCTTATCGATAGCACACGCTTCACGCCGAGTTTTATTTTGGGTTCATATGCAAATCCAAATGTGAACGATGTGATTCAGCTCCAGATGTCGACTCGCCTGTCAACAGGTTTGCCATTGGAGATCTGCTCGAATCCTCGGCGGTTTTGTCTTATTTATGGCCTGTGGCTGGTTCTGCTAATAGCACATAAATCTTATTAATGATCTCTGTCAAGTGAGCGAAGAATACTCGCAAGATCTGCATCCATGCATTTGCGTTTCATTTCTCGGTTCTAAGTCCGGAATTCTCGGCTGGGAATTGTGTTCTCTGCTCGATTCTCAATTCCCTGGTGTTGATGATGGACAACAGCTTTCAGCGCTACCGTCAATCAGTCGGTCTGACAAAAAGTTCCTACCCTTTTCCAAAGAATTGTTGGCACAATACCACACACTTATAAATGCCCTCAAAATCTAACATTTATAGAAAGAAGTTTATAAAAAAATCGAGACAGAGATGAAAGGTTAATGTTTTTAAAATCAAATAAAAACACCTCTTAACGAGGTAAAAAACTAGTGACGAACGCACCTTCAACATACAAAAGTTCTGATATCAGCATTTGTGACGAAAAATTATTACACTCGTCATTAAATAGACTTTCTAATATTTTCTCATTCGGGCCGCCCTAGCAAACTATTCCAGCCCTTTTCCCTTTACAGGCATTTTCTATTGCAGCGTGCCGAATGAGAAAATATTAGAAAGTCTATTTAATGACGAGTGTAATAATTTTTCGTCACAAATGCTGATATCAGAACTTTTGTATGTTGAAGGTGCGTTCGTCACTAGTTTTTTACCTCGTTAAGAGGTGTTTTTATTTGATATCAGAAGTTTTTGTTTGTTTACATTTGCTCTCATAGGAGCTAATATATACATTTAAATTTAAATTGGTCAATCATAATTTGTAAGCCATTGTATTTAAACGAATTAAGTTAAAAAGGCGATGAAGTATATCAAAATACCTTTTAAACGAGTTATAGCACATTTCTGTACCTTTAGTAGTGTAGAACTTACAAACTAACGAAATTTAGCTATTTTTAGCTTTTTTCCCGCTAAAGTAGCGGCTTTTTCCAAAAGTCGTAGAACAAAAGATTCCTGTATGGAACTCTTAAGTGCAAATTTACTGATTCCATGACCCTAAAATACAGTTCGTATACCCTCACACAAAATTCAATACTCAGGGAGCGTTAGTTGTTCGAGCTGGCAAAAGTGGCTATTTTCGTATAAAAATAACTTTTAAACGTGACTTTTTACAGTAATGTGTTATATACCAAAATTTAAGGAATCTCAAGGGCTATACAGTTTAAAGTTGTAAAGAAAATCGTTAGAGCCGTTTTTGAGAAAATTAAAAAAAAGCTAAAAAGAATGTTTAAAAAAAATGTCTTTTGTTCATATCTTTTTAACTATTACATTTACACAAATTGCATATAGAGGGCGTTTATAGCATTTAAAAATACCTTTCAAACGAGATGCAGCACAAGTCTGTAGCTTTAGTAGTATAGAAGTTAAGGAATTCCGAATTTTAGCTATTTATAGCTGTTTTCCCGCTAAACTAGCGAGTTTTTCCAAAAGTGGTAGAACAAAATTTTGTTATATCGATGTGATGAACGTCATATCAAATTTTCAAAACTTAAAAAACATGTTTTGGACAAACTGACAAACTGACAAACTGACAAACTGACAAACTGACAAACTGACAAACAGAATTAAATTTTCATTTTGGGAAGACGAAGAAAATCTTATTTTGGCTATAACTTTTGAACGATCCATTTGCTTATCACTATGGACGGCAGTCCATGTAGTGACGAAGCGCACCAGGAGAGTGTGCGAAGGCGACTACTATATATACACGAAGAAATGAAAATCTACTGTGATGGTCCGATCATAATGAATGATACACCTATCGAAAGGTATTGTAAAAACTAACAGGATTGCATACCAAGACT